TCTTTCTAGGTTGACGGTATATATCTGAAAGCTTGTTATTGTCTAGGTTTCAAGTGCAGTCTTTGGAACTGAGAAGGAAGTGTGCATCAATTATGTTCTTGCATAAACTACTGCACAATCAAATTGATGCTAATGAGATTGTGGCTCAAATAAACTTTAATGTTCCATTTTTGAAGGCACCCATATATGTGATGTATGAAACTTTCAATCCAATATCAAATTATTGTGATATGCATGCTGACAGTTTGAACAGCATTCTGGGAGTAGCTAGAAATTGCTTGGATAATTTATATGTTACTCACCTGAGTGAAATATGTTTTTTTCTGCTTCTTTTTCTTGTTTGTTTTTTTTCTTTAGATGTTTTCTGTTCTTGTTATTTTGATTTATCTTAGGATTATCGTGTAAATGGTTTCCTTAATTGTTGGACAATAAACGCTATTTATTTATTTATTTATAAACTCGACCGGCTTACGAATTTAACAACAACACTGATTTTGGTCGTCAGATCAACAGACTGCGTGTACTGCGCTGTTTCATGTTTATTAGCAATCATCAACACGGTTTACGTCTCTAGGTAGAACACCGGATGAAAGCAGAGCAGCGCAACGTATGTCCTTTCAGCACAAATTTCGTTGGCTTTAATTTTAACAAACACAAAATAATATTAAGATGCCGTTGGAAACAAAAGCTTGCTTACTTACTTTGCTGTCAGTTGACATTTATCTATTTTAAAGTTTGAAGATGTATAAATTATAAGTAAGAGAAAGGATCTACAAGTTGGTTGAGCGGTTATCCAAAGCTGTCGAATAGTTTAGTTAAGTATTGAGTTGTGATTCGTGATAACTGGTTTTTCATTAAAAAAAACCGATAAATGTTTTGTGCCCAAACTTTTAGGACATACGTACTAGTGAGTTACTCTCTCATTGTGAAGTTTATTTATTTACCAAATTTACGGGTGACCCCATTTTTACAAAATAAAATCACGAAATGGGAACCACATTTACAACATGCAAGCTCACAAGTTCTGGAAGCTCTTCAAGTGCAGGACTCTACCCCTGCTTCTGCTCCTGCTACGTAGTTCGAAATTAGAACGTCGCTTTCTCCTATTATGAAACATGTTCAAAGTGGAGCTTTTACCTTTCCGCAACTCTAATCTTAATTAAGATTTTTAATATCCGTGTAGCAGCTTGGCAGGCCGTCTGGCTAATTATTATTTTACCTGACAAAAGAACATTGCGGGCTTGTTGCCATTTTTAGCCGTATTCTATGAGCCATTTTGCTGAGGTTGTTGCGCTTTAACCTCAGATCTAATCTTTGATTCATTTCCATAGAATGGTTAAAAAAGGAGAATTTGCATATCTCAGCATTTGTTCTACTTTGTCGAAGTACCCACAACTCCAAGCTCTAAATGCTCACTCTTTTACGCTCCTGTAGTTCAAGCTGGCGGCAAATTTCGTCAAAAATATTCAATTCTTGTGCTTAATTGGATTTAGGGTCCAAATGAATACAGATTCTAGTTACAAAACCAAACCCAACGAAATACAAAAAATTGATATAAGCAATGGTCGTCTGAAAAGTGACTGTACAAAATATTATCTTGAATATATAAAACTAATAAAAGAATATTTTATTTTATTATGTTTTCATTTCTTCCAAGAAAAAAATACGCGATATTTGACGAGACCCCCCTCTCCGCCACAAGAGATTGGGTGAGGTGTGGCTCACTTTTTTTGGCTTGGTCAGTCTCTGTCTAATTTATCCGACTTCTTTTGGTATAGCTACTCTTTGGGTATATACATTCTCTGTTTATTATTTTGTCTTATTTTCATGAACGGCTTCGCCGTCAATACAGCTCATCAGAAATCACAGTCGTTTCAGCAGTTAGTGACAGCTTTTGAAGTTCGGTCTGGCATCCACTTCATGCGTTAATGTGCCCTACTTCCCTTCTCATCGTTATTTCGCTCACATATTCACCCCTTCCTAGCACCGTGGATATATCAACCACAATGAAAGTGTCCTTGGTGCGTGGGAAGGTTTGATAATACGAGTAGCAGTCAGATCACACCTCCTGAATAACCCTGCTTGCTTACCTTATGTGGGAAAGCGATCATGTTAATACGTGAATAAACTTATTATTAATAGTATTATTATAATAAGGCAGATGTGTAAAATCATAATCTCCTGATGACTAAATGGTTTCGTATGATACTCGTGACCTATTGATAAACTCCCAACTAACAATTATCACTCCTATTAGAGTTGCAAGAAGGATTATACAGTATTCCTTAAACAGCATTGTATACTGTAAGAACATTGGCAAAACCCTCTTAGAACAGCTATACAAGCGGAATGGGCACACCTAATAGAACACTTCAGTCATTTAAGAGGTTGTGTAAGGGCTGCAGGTAACAGTTATACAACAAAAGTGTACGCCTCTTGCAGCCGCTATAGGACATTTGCGTCAGTGCCAGATTCAGGTTTTGTCAACTATACAACTATTCTGTTACGTGATTCTACTTTATTGCAACCAAACTATTTCTTATGTATTGTATAGACGAAGTGAAGAATATATAACTAACACATTACAGTCATCTTGTTTACTTACATATCGGCCATTGTGAATTTCATACACAGGTATATGATAAACTTCTACGCTGTGTTATAGGGCTATTGAATTACTTGCGCAGCAAATTTGATTGTGATTATTATCGTGCAAATTAGTTACCCAATTTCTACGGGCTTCGTATTTGATTCATATTTTGATAATGATCAAAAGTATGTCTTGATTTTTAAGATGGAAAACGGAACTTATCTGCGTTAAATCTTCCACAAATCCTATATTTAGACCCAATTACACTAATGTTTATCTCTTTATATCTGTGATTTCGAACTGAAACATAATTATTTAATATTAAATAGAGGAATAAATGTTTGCCCAATATGGCGGGTGGTTGTGTACAATCATAGCATCGTCCATGTTGTCTTTAGTTTATTAGAATATTTTGGTGTTGCCTGCATGTGTTATACAACAATTTGACAAATGTCTGTAATGAAATACCGACAGAGCCGTATGATTTACCCAGAATTTGTACCAGATCAATATCTTCTGTTTGAACAGTTGATAAAACCTTTTGAACCAATATGCATGCGTTGTTTGTCTTAAAACATTGGCTATGGCATTTTACAAGGCTCGGGTTTGTTTTATAAACGTTACCATGGATGTCACAACACAACCATTTTGACTAACGTGGAGATATGCCGTATAAAATAGTTGTATAAACGTTTATGCAACAGTTAAAAATTTGCCCTATAAGATGTTGTATAACTATGCTATAAGAATATTTTAAACACCTCATTTTAGAGCAAATATGTTGCAGGAAGCATATTTGCATTCCACACAACATTAAGCCAGCATTTTGGTATTCAGGCAACAACAATAGAGAACGTTTATGGCTGAACGGTCCTTTTACCAAAAGCTTATACCACTACTTTGGTAGTTGGGCTGGCATACCCTATAGTAAATATCAACTGACTATTTCTAAAATGAATAGCCTTCACAGTATTCCTGGAATGTTTACCTCTATTTTTGAATTCCTAACGATGTTCCATTTTGGTGATGCCTTTATATTTGTTTGGTGAGGCAACGGCAATGTTTATATCGCGGTTGTTATGCGTCAATATGACGCGTCAATATGACGCGTCTATATGACACATGTAGCAATTTTAAGCGATCTATCAATCATAACCGCAAGGGTATTATGCAACTTGAAAAGTGACGTTATGTCGGTTTTTATTGACATTATGTAGGTTTTTTACATTATGTCATTATGTAGGTTCTGTTATAACACGTCAACCTGGAACTAGCTATCATTCATTTCATGCTCACTTGTAGTGAGCCCGGAATGAACTAATTGCACACTAGCCTAGTTGGGCAACAAGTACACATTTTATCGGTAACTAGCCCTTTGTGACGTCACCGTTTATGACCAATGATAGCCTTACTCAGGTGGCGGTTTCTACACGATTCTTGTATGTCAAATGTTAATCCTTAAATACAGGGTTATTACAAAAGAATCATCGGGTTTTAAAAATATATATTTCTGAAGGTATTACAGATATAACAGTAGGTGACATGTCAGTGGAAAAGCAAAATATTCAAGATTTTAAGCATGCTATTACAAATGTTCGATGTGAGCTCCTTGCGTCACACGACATATGTCCAAACGATAGTCCAGTTCGGCCCATACACGCTGCAATGTGTGCCGATCGATATTGTTAATAACAGTAGTAATGAGTTCCCGAAGTTGACCCAATGTTGTTGGCAAAGGTGGTATGTAAACCATATCTTTAATGTAACTCCAAAGGTAAAAATCGCATGGTGTAAGGTCGGGAGAGCCACGCGAACAATACCAAATCTTGTGCAGTATCTCGGCCAGTCCAACGGTGAGTGCCTCGTTTGAATACCGACGCACCTCATAATGCCAGTGAAGCGGAGCTCCATCTTATTGGAATATGAAGTTGTTAGAATCTTCTGTTAGTTGCGGAAATAACCACAAATGCAACATATCTAGGTAGGATGAACCGTTCACAGTGTTCTCATGAAAGAAAAAAGGCCCGTACACTTTATTTTTGGATATTGCACAGAAGACATTCAATTTTGGTGAATCCCTTTCATGTTGCACAATCATATGAGCATTTTCCGTGCCCCATATCCGAATGTTATGACTGTTCACCCGTCCACTTAAATGAAATGTCGCTTCGTCGCTGAATACCAGACAGTTAGCAAATTCGTCGTCTTCCATTGCCTCCTTCATGTTAGAAGAAAAATCAAGTCGCTTTACGTGGTCGTCAGGTCGTAAGCTTTCTAGCATCTGTAGACGGTACGGTTTGAATCGCAATCGTTTCCGCAAAATTTTCCATACGGTTGGCTGGGGAACACCAAGTTCACTTGCTGATCTGCTAGTGGACTTTCGCGGGGAACGCGTGAAACTGTGTCCACCATTTCGCCAGGAACTCGTGCTCTTCCGGTATTTTTACGTTTAGTAATGGAGCCTGTCTTCTTGAATTGTCGATACCATCGTAGAGTGCTCTGATGACCTGGAGAATCAGTTCCATACCGCCGTCGGAATGCACGTTGCACTGTAACAACAGGTAAATATCGCGCGTACTCTAACACACAAAACGTTTTCTGCTGCATAGTCGCCATTTTGTATACTGAGCTCATGGCGCTATCTAGGGAGGCCAAGCGGCGTTCGCAAGCACGTGCTTTAAACTCGAATATTTTTCTTTTCGAGTGATATGTCATTTGATATTATATTTGCAATACTCTCTGAAATATAAATTTTTAAAACCCGATGATTCTTTTGTAATAATCCTGTACATATAACAAGACCCTTTCCGATTCTTCTGTGCCCTTTGTGTTTGCTTTTGTCATCTGTGTAAAAAGCTATCACTGAAAAAGAGCGATATCAGGTGATAGCAGAGGTAGAACTACTAAGTTCATCTGGAGTCATCCATTTTTTTGAAGAATTTGAGAAGTACTCGGGTTTGTCTATTATTATCACAGTAAGGTGTTTACTTAATTTATGCTCAATGTGATGTAAAAATACACTTATTGATTCCATGGTTAGCCACGGCCTTAAGCGTAGTATATCGCTCTGTGACAGCTGTCAGCTTATCACACTTAATTATTTATACACTATATCTTGTACTCAACTGGCACAAAGAGTACAACCCGCCTCGAGAAGAAATGAAAATCACTTAGGACGATGACAATCAAAACCAAATAACCAAATCCATCCAAAACACAACCGTCAACTTAAAAAGTGGACATTGCCACCATTAACAGTAATACCTTTGACATTACAAACAACTCCTACGCAATTTTAATACAATTAGTACGAGTTTACTCAGATGGCGCTCAAAGGAGAATACAGAGTCATGAATACTCACGTATACTACTTAAGCCTCCCTGATGTATTCCATATTCAGCGACTGGAATAATAAGAAAGAAAAATGTTATTGCAGGGTGATGCATCACTGGCACAGATCATATCTCATGTGATAGATTATCTCGCTGGTAAGAAGTGAAAGATAACGCATTTGCGAAAGCGTGCATTCATCTTCCTGAAAGAGTCGTCATTCAGGAATTTCCGGACAACGGCCCTACTTCCTAGTAATGAAAAATTATAGGAGTTTACCGAGTCTATCATGGATCGGTCTCTCAGAAGAACGCGGGATCAATAAGGAGAAAGAAACTAGGGTTAGTTGTTTGGAATGTACAAGATTAGTTGAATCGGTGAGTCCAAGAACAGTACAAGGCCAAATCGTTTGAAATTGGAAGATTCATGTGTTGTGCTTAAAAACACTACAACATTCAAGAATTATTAGGCTATACGTTTACTTTTAAAGAAACTACCCATTGATTTAGAACATTGGTGGCCTTCTGGCTACAAAAAAACTGCATGTTCAATCCCTAAACCTGGTGATAATACGAAGGCATTCACTATTTCAAAGTACAGGCAGTTTGTTTATGATAGTTCTTCCCCAGGATACGTTACCACCTATGAATATATAGTTGGTTTTATTCCTTATACCTTTAAACCCCTCAAACAGAACAAACCAGGTCCTCATTTTCCAGAGATATGCGCATATCAAGAGCCGGTTCCCATCAAAAATAAGAAGATCACGGATATTAAAAAGTAGTACATTAACAGTCAAACATTAGAATTCTACTACCATGTAACTTCCTGGAAGCAAAGCTACGCAAACGGAGATCCTGATGATTAATATTTTTGTATGGATTCGCTCAATAAAAGATTTTTCATATGTCTACCATCCTCTATAAGAGTTCCAAAACACATGTTAACACCACAGGTCATTCTATGAGTTATGGCAGTATTAAGGTTCTTGACAAGGAACAACAACTCTCAAAACGTCTATTTTTAGAAATCTTCATGACAGATCATTGCATGAATAAAAAGGCAGATGTTAAGCAGCTTAGTGTCAATTACTCTTACTTGTTGAATTGCGAAAAGTAAGAACGTCTACATATTGAAGTTGATCTAACTTCCTCCGAAAATTAAAACACAATTCCAATTATTTAGCCTGTTAATAGAAATATTGCCCTCACGGTAATAATAAATTTTAATATATTTTCATTCAACCCATCTTTTCAAGCGTGTATCACCATATCACACTCGTACACTCATATGAATTACACTTTTTCTAGAACAAATTTAACCCAGCAGTTTGGGAAATAGGATCAGCTTTTACCGAGCGTCGCTCGTAAACACTAAACCTGAAATTTGGCAATGATATTTACCTTTCCACATTCCTTCGCGATAATCACCTGTCATCTGTCGACGGTCACTCTTCCGGTTCGCTCATTTTCTCCACGTGAAACAGTTGTAGGAGGTTAGACTCTGCCGGTTTTTTCCCAAAATTGCAGTTCGATAATTTTTAATGTGTTCAGGTGGATTGATTGATATATAGTGTTAACACCTAACGATGGTTTCCGTCGTTATCAATAAACCCAATGTGTCCGTCTCATCCACGCTTTCATTTTGAAACACCATTTGGCTGCAACCTCAGCGACGAGTAAGTTGTCTGATAAGTTAAACCCTTCCCGTATTAGTGGCTTGCTTCATATTTGTGTTTTCAGCTCCTGAAGATGGCTCCAATATCTAGATTACCGAGTTATGTTGCTGTCATTTAACAACTTATTAATTGATATAACAATTGCATTGTATTCCCTTTTACTAGCTCATCACTTTTGGTTTATATTAACGATTGTTTCTTAATGATGACTCAGTCATTCAATCTCGGTCACCGCGAACACACATACACTGTAATTTCGGTTCGGTCCAGTAAACTATTGTTGGAACCAAATGAAGTTTTTTAAAAACGAAGCTTGAAGTTTCGACTATATACAGTATATTCAGATAAGAGATAGACCGGACATAAACAAGACCACGTGATCATCGAACGCTGTAACATTCGGCAGGGACGTATTAAGAGTCACGCAGTACATATTTTAGATAGTAGATGCTGCTTTGCGTAACTTTGTAGTAAATTAGCACAATTCGATATGTATACGATTGGTGATGGATATAGGATCATGTGGGGGTGGGGTAAGAAATATATAATGATGTAAATATACATAAGGGTTTCAAAATTTTCGCTTCGATTTCCAGCTTCGGATGCCGCCTGATGTTTGGTGAAATACAGTCGAATATAATCTCAAAATGGCGTTTAAATTAGCCTAAATTAACAATAATCGTATATCTCTTATCTTAAAATTGCTTTTAGAATATTGATTAGTATATTTTTTGATTTCTATGTAAATATGTAACCAAATTAAAACGTTCAAAACGTAAAAAAATGTGCATGGTTGAACATTGTCAGAAAGTAGATTCTTGAATAGGTTTTGCCAAAATGGGTTCAAAAATGTCAATAATTAATTAAAAAATACAGTAGCTTTATAACTACTTATAACTTACCGAATTTGATGAACGACATCTTTTATTGGAAAGATGAGCTTGATGAGCTTTCATCATCGCTACTGCCTGAAGCACCAACGTCAATAATGAATGGCTCGACTTGTTCCTCTAAAATATTGTCCAGTTCCCACATTCTCTTTTCAACTTTGTCTTTCACGTGCTTAATACAGTTTTCCCATTTTTGCGCTGTTATTAATTCTAGTGCTTCTTTGAAAAGTCCTTTGAGGTCACAAAATTTAAAAGTTGTATTGTGCTTAGCTATATAATTTTTAACCTCTGCCCATATGAGCTCAATGGGATTGAGCTCGCAATAGTATGGAGGTAAACGGAGCACAGTTTTATTTTGACTTGCTGCCATTTCGTCAATCGCGTATTTTTGATATTCCGCCTTGTGATCCTTGACAATTCTTAATAATTGTACTTTCAGCATTGCTTCTTCAAAGTTGATATTTTTCGAGCGGAGCCAATTTTGAACATCAACTTTCCTTGAAGCCGTTGTTGGGACCTTCTCCATTGTTCGAGAATGATAAGGCGCATTATCCAACACAATTACTGCGTTTTCCTCTAAGTTCGGTAAAATTTTTGAAAACCACTGTTCAAACGATTCGCCATTCATTTCCTCGTGGTAATCTCCAGTTTTCTTAGACTCAAAGCACCACAGACCGTCAACAACAAATCCATCCTCACTGCCAATATGGCAGATAATGAGCCTTTTCCCTTTACCTAGAAATCGAAGTACTAACTGGTGTAGATTTATTTCAATAAGCGAACCTTTTTCAAATGTTTTCATCACATTCAGCGAAAAAACATTGAGACATGAGTATCAGATTGCTATAATTGGGATTATTTAGTCATATTGAAAGAAAGAATATTGAACGTCGTATGATTACTCAGCGCTTCACAATTTAATTTAAAGTTATAAACCTTTAAAAAATGAATGATCAGGAACCTGAAATACGCGCAAATATTAATATTAACAAATTATAACTTTATAAAGCTTAAAGTATGAATTAAAATGATTAGAAATATTAGGAACGGTACACAATATAAAACTTAGTAACTTTTTTTAAGTTTATAATATTCGACATATTTTAAGATTATATTAAAAAATTATTGAAATATCGAAAACACATAAAAACATGGCTTAAAAAAGTTCTAACAAATGAAAATGACAATAAAACATCCACGCATTTTATCGAAAGTTATAAAAGTTTTGTTACTTGTAATATGTTTTATCTGCCCCCTGGAATTAATGTTTAGAACCTTGTTCCCAAGGTTTGAAAAACATCCGATTGTTGTCTATTACTCGTATTTACCTGCTGGATTTTTTTTTACTTGTAGTGTATCCTGCGTTTACCCACGTTTCATCAAGGTAATAAATCTTCCTGTTTTGATTTCTATATTTCCCAATTTTTGTTAAATAATCCCTCCTCCATAGCACAATTTCTTCTCTATCCAGTAGTAAACTATTACGACCCCGTTTTTTCCATTTGAAATTTAAATGCTTCAGTAACGCATGGAAAGTTGATCGTTTGAAATTTGGCAACGTTGTATCTCCATTTACCTCCTGCAGTACTTTATCTATAGTAGGTATTTCATTCCTAAAGAAGAATTCATGCACTTTACTTCTAATCGCATGCTTATCAGCTTCATCCAATGATTTAACAATACTTTTACGATGTTTACTGGTCATTGGCTCAGAAAAGGTGTGATTTTTTTTGTATTGTCTTAACACATTAAACACTGATGCGCGACACACCCCAACTTTGTGAGAAACCTTCACAACAATTTCTTTGATGGTTGATGCCTCGTTCTCCTCGCGCTCGATCTTATATATATTCAAAATGACCTCTTTCATTTCTCACTCAGGTGTCTTTTTTTAGAGCGTTTCCTAGGTGGACTACAGGAGTTTACAACTTCATCGGCAGTATCTGTACTACTGGGCATTTTGCGCAAGCAGTTGATAAGAATAACAATCAATAACAAGGTATAACAATAACAACGACAAACTCAACAACTTAATAAGATAACAAACGAAAACGTCCAAAGAAATATCAAATTGCAATTATGCACACGACATACGTAACACGTCTGAACCTGAATGTGACTCTGCCTTGATACGACTGCTCTGCCGCTCGGCATAGGCATTTAATTGCGAATTGACCAATGAGGGCTCCTGTTTTACGTCGAGACGGCGGCGTTAGCGTGAAAATCACCCGAACCTTTTGTTTACATCCGGTCTATCTCTTATCTGAATATACTGTAATTACCGTTAAAAGAGTATACTAAAGCCTAAAAAAAATGTTTGTTGCCAATTTCCCAATTAACAATAGATTGTATTTCTTGCCCAACTGGTCGTAGGCAATGGCAATGACTACTGCTATATATATATATATGTGTATAGTATTCACAACTAATTGCCTTGGGTAGAAGACAAAGTATTGCATAAACACATCCTTGAAACTTGAACTCGAGCTTTCGATGGTCTATGCCATCATCGTCTGGAGTTAAAATACCATTTTTGAATATATATATATATATATATATATATATATAACAAAAATAGGAAAATAATCGAGCAAAAAATAGGATAGGTAACCCGAGCGATACGTATTAACTACAAAAGTTTTCTAACAAAAAAAATGCATTTTCCTAAATACGCTTTTATTTTTTCCTACCTTTATCTGAGATGGGATTTCAAACTGAAGAGTGGGTCAACAATGCCACTTTTTCTTCTGTACAAAATGGCGTAATTAGAATTTCAAGATGATGTTTCGTCTCTTGTGTTCTGCTTTTCACACGGGTGAGTAGCGTTTTTAATGCTGATTTGAAAAAGGTATAATATCTCATACCTTGAATATGACAGTTTATCACAGGTTTGTCCGATTAAATCACCAATGCTTCAGTGGTTGAGAAGCATGCATCTAGGTAGTTTGTCAGCTCATCAAATATAATAAGCCTGTTGTAACATGACACCTGAGCCGAAGACTCATAGTATTTGGATGTAAGCTGTTGGCATAATACATACATAATACTGTCATTGCGACCTTTTAGTAATATAAAAATTAGTTTGTTGTTTATTCGATAAGTTAAGACCAGTAATAGGAATATTGCTTTTTTAGACATTTCAGGTTTTATAATGTCAGTCCAAAGAAAACTGTTCATAAAAACTAAAGGAATGCTGATGATGTTGTGGAACAAATTACTATCTGACAATTGCAATGCGTGAGGAAATTCTTTTTTTTTAAATAACTAAGGTTGCATAACGTCAGTACACGACATATACATTTTTAGAATCGAAATCAAAGACCCCGTTCACCCGTGTAAAGTGGCAGTAGCCTTTATTCCGAAATCCCATCTTAAAATTAAAGCGGTTTTGGTAAAATTCGTATTTTTTTCGACTATCCACGGAAATATTCTTATTTGCATTAAATTTTATTACTTACATAAATGCGCAACTCTGTCCGTATTCAACCGATCTCGTATCTCTTACCGTTTCCGAGATCCCAATTGTAAGTGTCGAACTTGAAACACCCTGAATATGTCACTCATATTGAAGTTCATATTGTTGCTGCTTCTATTTCCACAAGCAGGTGCCGCAACTAGGAGCGCAAGTTCCTATGCTGACATTATTGCTTTGTACAGTGGAGACAGTGAAAAGTTTCAGTAAAGCTACTGAATACACCTCCACTTTTAGCTAATAATTCCCAAGCACCTGCCGCCAGAGTTTTCGATAAAACGCGCCCGGGAAACTTTCTACATTCGAATATAGGAAAGTTTCATGCTAAACCCAGGCGAATTCATCCTATAAAACAAAACAAAATGGAGTATACATGAGGAATGACTAACACAGCGGCAGATAGAATTTTTATATAACGTTTTACAAAGTTTCCGGGAGTCGTTCCAGGAAGGGTTAAGCTTCAAGGTGCCCCAGAAGGAGACAAGCAAGTATTTCTAATGTAGAACGCATGTACTGCAAGGAAAACTTTAAATTGAGTGAAACGTTCAGGAACTACTTGGAAATCGAATGATAAATGAATTAAGTTGGGAATGGTATTGACAAGGTCCTACGTAACCGAATGGTTAAATTACATTCTCAGCTCAGTCTCTGTACGTAGTGCTGATCGACATGCGGATACTTTCCTATTGCATTTAGACAATTAACAGAACCGTCATTTAAATATATAAGAAAACAAGTCCTCTTAAGATGCATCAGGGCTGAGGAATATAATGTGCAAAAGCAATTGTGGCATTTTCCATCGAGGTATATAGAGAAGTTTTTCGGAGAAAAAACGTGTTCTTAATTTAACTTGGTTAAACTTTTTTAAATTGTGCAAAATTTACCAGGGTCTATATTTAATTAAGAAAAATGATTTTTGAAGTTTTTCTATAGTTTTAGTGGTTCATTGATACTTACGTTACTTTACGGGTTCAGAAATCTCGAAGTATTGATCAAAAATGTAACATAACTACACAGACACGTCAGTCTGGCGGCAAATTGTAGCACAAGTATTTTGGAAAGAATTAAAAATTATCGTTTATTATGAAAAAAAAGACAAAATAGCGTTACAAAAGAAAATATGAAATTCTTACTAGTAAAAAATATATATTTTTTTAAGTTTTGGAGCTTTGATTTTGTCATCCTCTGCATCAGTTTCTGCTAAGTCCTCTGGAAGAGAAGACTTACATTTTAATTTAAAGAATTCCTCGTGAAACCTGGCAGGTATGACATTGTTTTTGCAAAGTTTTTCCAAATCCCTTTTCGTCATTTCGGATATTGGAAGCAGTTGTTTACATTTTTTCAGGCTCAGAAACTGCCTTTTCTTGCCGCTTTCGACCTTAAACAAAGAAATACTTCAGGATAACTTGCAAATATGTATTCATTTTTTATATTTGTGGTTCATTAACAGTTTTCTGTATTTAATAAAGTCTTAATAACACGGGAATTCCCTATACAGGGTGTCACTAAATTAGTATTCAAAACTTTAGCCACAAACAGAACATTAAAAAATATGTAGATGAAAAATTTGCGATAAACATGTGTCCGGAAATGTTTCATTTCCGAGATACATCGTGTTGAAAATACGTTAAAACAATCAGTTTTTTTCTTATAATTCAGACAAAATGTTTTCGAAGATCTTTAAACTTTGTCGTTTCTCTTATTTCGGTGGTACCCATTATGAGAAGAAAAAAATCTTAATTATCTAACTAGTGGCGTAGTTACTTAATACGTTGTAAAGGAAAATAGCCTAATTCTTTCGCCAATGCATTTTTTATAATTTTAATAATGCATTATTATTGCTCACTTTATTTAGAAAAAAAGTACTGTTTCAAACTTTTGGAAAAATCAACCGTTTCTTTGTTTAAAAAAAAAACAAAAACCATATTAGTACTAAGTAATATTGAATGAAAAATATGATTTGTCTTAACTACAAGTTTTTGTCTAAAAAAATAGTAGGATATGCTGATTGTTTATTGCTAATGGAATTAAAAATATTGACAGAAAAAAAATTCGAAAATACTTATCTGAATTAAAAGAAAAAAATTGATTATTTGACGTCATTTCCACACAATGTATCTCGGAAATTAACCATTTCCAGACCCATGTTTATGAGAAATTTTTTATATACATAAGTTCTGTTTGTGGTTGAAGTTTTGAATACTAATTCAGTGACACCCTGTATAAAAGCAAAAGCTTACTCAGTGTAAAAGGTTCTCTGTAATGTGTAAAAAGGACCAACTTACCACCCTTATCGTAGTTAAACTTAAAGCACAAATCGTACTCAGGACTGCTGACATAGTTATATTTGACCGCGACTTCCGTGGAAAAAAGCTTGTCTTACACTATTCATTTTTAGTCCGGTTTTTGTAAGGACCAGCTGATCATCCCCTAGCTTCTTCCAATTTTTGAACTCAGGGTGCTCAAGCTTTATTACTGTATATGGCCTCGGGTTAACTCTGCAATTTTCTATAATAGTGCTCCACTCTGAAGGGGCCGATATAACTCTATTTTTGATAAACCTTTCGATTACTGCGTGTATCGAATCAACTGGCTTGTAGGTATGCCCCGGTAAAAGAAATACAATTTTGATGGTTTCAATACTTCTAGATTTTTGCAAAAATGAGTGAATCATGACTAACATTGCTCTATTCTTATTTTGTCCAGCGCAGCTATCGCAGTACAAAATAACATGTCTAATATCTCTATCTTCCAACAATTTTAGGTAAGTGTAAATGATGCGTAATTTTTGTTACACCCAAGATTACCATCGGATTCACCCCACAGAAAGCAATATCCATTTTGCGATGGCGTTTCGCATATGCTTTCGTGATAAAATGAATATTTTCTAGAGTAGTATAATAACATGTTATCTCCATGGGGAGTATTCAAGACTTTCCGTAAATCAAAACTGGAACAAACTGTATCTGAGACTTCTTTGACTTTCTTTTGATCTTCTAAAAAGAGTTCTTTACTTTCTTCCTTTTCTTTTAAATGTTTGTCGTATGCCTATTTCTTTTTTAGGCAAGTGGAAACCAAGGTTAAACTCTTTGTTAAAAACGTTTCTAAAAACTTTGAGTGAAACACAATCTTTCTTGCTTTTTCCATTTACCTCCTCATGTTTAATAAAAATCCTGTATAAGAAACTAACATTTCGCAACTCTTCTGGTAAGTATTTTCTGCTACTTTGATTTCGACAATAGTGGGATGGTACAGCTGGCAATTGCTTAATAAAATCGTGTATTTTATTGATCATTTCTGAACTTGTTTTGTTGACAGGTTCGTGTTTGCCTCTCTGATCACTTTTGCATGTATTTTGTACAGCATGTTTCATTGCATATCGCATAACCGTTTGCGAAATATCTAGCGTCTTTAACAAAAACTGCTGGCACACTTCAAGTGTTTTATCGTCCCAACTGATAAAGTACTTGTAGGAATTATGTCGTCTGCTATACTCTGCTTCTGTTTTTCTTCAAAATATGTCTATCTTTTTAACACACGATAATAACCAATTTCTCTGCTTTTCATAGTTACGAAGCCCCCCTTAAAAATCGTGGATATCATGGTGTGTAATCTCAGTTATTTTAGCAGAGCAGTTATGCTGACATTTTTTTTACAGGGATTCTCTTTTACTGATCTACCTCTGCCAAAATTGTACTCGCATTTTTTTAGTTTCTTTTTTCCTCGTTCCTGATTTTCCAACTAAAGATACAACTTCATCCGAATGTCTTGTATTTGTATCCGAATCAGATGACGAATACAAATCTGGGTTACTATGAAATGAATTTTCGGAATTGAATTTGTTGGCCTTGCCTTTTCCAAGTATTATTTTGGTTTTATTTTGCTTTGGCAATGCGTCACTTTTTTTAGTGAGTTCTAGTGTGTCATCATTTTCCGACGAAGTCGAGTCATAATCTATGAGTTTTGGAAATACATTACAGGTTTTTGTTTCAGGGTTCAACTCTAAATCGTTATTGTTAACATAATTAACTAACGGCTGAAAACATTCTTGTACATCGCATTCCTGTTCAAATTGAACACCCATTGTCCCATTTGAGCTATCAGGACTTATTGGTACGTTTATTTCTTCTTGCATAGTATGGTTACCATCATTTTCATAAGGACTCGAATTGTTAGAAGACAATAAAATTGATTGATCTATTTCGATTACGTCTTCATTTCCTAAAGTAGTTTTTAAAATATTTTTGGAATTATTTAGATCAAAAATATTGTCACTTACAATAATGGATATCGGCATAGACTCGATTTCTTCCTCAGAATAAACATTATTCGATTCATCATTTTGGCTAAGAGCCGCCAAAATCCTTTTTGTTCGTGACTTGACCATAGACATAATCTGAAAGTAACCGAGCATTTATGTTTACAATGTTTCATAGCTTCTATAAGAATTAGAATAGAAACAAATACAACATTTCTCTAACTTCAACCGATTCATTCCTGTGAATTTCTCACAGACTTCGAGGTTATCACAGAATAACTACTAATAAATAAACGAAATGAAATATGAAATTGAAGTTTTATAGGTTGGTACATAATACTAGTTAAGGTTTTAATATTTTTAAATTCTAACTACAAAAAACCTTTTTTTTAACTTCAAACGATTCATTCCTGCAAATTTCTCACAGACTTTGAGGTTATCACACAATCATTTGTAATAAATGAACGAAATTAAATATGAAATGGAATTTTATAGGTATGTACCTACATAATATTAGTTAAGATTGTAATATTTTTGAATTCTAACTATAAAAAAATGTCGTTATTATTTACTTACCTAAAATCAATAATTAGTCGATGGTAGCACGAACCTAACACTTTCCTATGCCAAACACTGACTGCGAAAATCTGACGTAAGTCGCAGAAACCGACCGAGACTTACGTTATTATGGCGGTAAAAAAACGTTGCTTGCATTACTATGATGGAAATCGTGTTAAAGTTACGTTTCTTTTACGGATATGATTTAAAAAGTTCTGGACATACGTTTTCAAAAAAAAGTTAAAAACAAAGGTTTAAAGTAAAATCTAGGCTTCCTACACTTTGGCAGTACCTTCTCAACAATAAAAGCCTTACGTCAATGGAAAAACATGATTTTCACCAAAAATGTCACTTACGTTACTTTGGCAAAAATGCATCGATATAGCATATCTGACAACTTTCTGAACATCCGGCAACACTGCGCGAATAAAGCTCAATAATTGTGTTAATCTATGAATCACATAATGATGTCTGAGAGAGCCCGACAAAGATAGAAGATGCCGCCATTTTGATGAGGTACTCCAGTTACTTGAGTAACATGAGACTATCAAGCTGTCAAATCTCTCAAGCTGTCAAAACAATGAGTTGAGTAAGTACAATTAATAAAAATAATTTCAGCTAAAAAACGAACTGCTTAGTGACTTACAGGAAGCAATCGAATCGAATTATTAAGTAGATAAGGATACAACTCATTTGTCTTAGACCATAAGATCAAAAGCTGGCTCATTACATGTCAAAAAACTGTTAAAGATCAATGATGCACAGTATTTATTCATAAGCCACTTTTAAGATGCAAGGAAAAAAAAATATCAACAATTTGACAAAATACAAGAATTGTTGTTTCGTGCAAGTTTCGACAGGTAATAAAGTAGATTATTTTTTTCCGAAAACTATGTAATGTATCACGCAGTGATGACAAGAGACAAAAAAAAATTATCATTAGTGTCTTAATCCGAAAAAGCATATATTTTTTAAAGCCATTAGCGTACATTTTTTGTCAATATTACCCATGGGACTGCCCCCAGGATGCCACTGGAGTTCAAAATCATTTTCTAGTCAGCGCTAACTTGGCATCTTATTGCAATGAACATCAACAAGATACAACGGAATGGGCGCAAGGATCATTGAGCTGTTATGAAGAAACCATAAATTTTCTAAAACTTTTGACACCCTGTTTCTTGAAGACCAGAACTTTCAAGACACACAATGTTTATACAGGGTGTTTCAGTTTATTGTTGCATAACTTTAAGATTCGATAGAACTTTTAAAATTAATGCACAAAACCTATACAAACATGGGTCGGAAAATGCGTGGCTTCCGAAATACAGGGTGTTTAAATTTACTTTCTAAAATAGTTTTTTTTAAATATTTCGAACAATATTTGATGTATAATAGTAAAAATTGGTACACAAGGGTTTTTTGGTACGAGAAAACGAACCATGGGCATAGTTTTACTGTTGCCGCTAGAGGGCGCTCTCTACTGTACCTGTAGTGTATTAAAAAGACCAAAAATTTTTTCTTAGTGCAATTTTTTGCTTTTTGAATAAAAAAACTGATTCTTCGCACTTTTCAACATAAAAAAGCTTTCTTGTGAATTTTCGTTATAGTTAGCCGTTTTTGAGATATTTCGATTTTTAGGGTTTGATGCTTTTTTAATTATTTATGATAAAATAACGTTAAAAAGTCAGTATCTCGATAATTTTTAGAAATAGGCTGTGCCTGCAAATATTTTTGAAATTGAAAGCAGAATTAGGTTAAACGTCAATTAGTTGACAGTTAGTTTTGTTGTCTGTTGAAACCTGAAACGTTTTTTTGCTATTGTGAATGCATGAAATTTAGTTTCTTTTACCTGTTTTTTTTTGTAAGTTTTATAAAAATGCCATTTGTATTCTCCAATCAAGAGTTAGCGGATATTCATTTTGTGTATGGCTTTGTAAATGGAAACGCAGCAGACGCAGCCAGATAATACGCACGAAGATTTCCAAACAGACGACATCCAGCTCGCTCAGTATTTGTAAGAGTGCATCGCCAAATAATTGAAAATGGTTTTGGAACTCTCCAAAGGGATCAAAACATAAATGTTCGTCAGCGCAGATTTACCCGTATGATTCTGCGTGAGTTTGATAGAGATCCGACCACAAGTGTTAGGAGAGTTTCTGGTGCCTTGGGAATTTCAGCAAGCCATGTTCACCGTGTTCTTAGAAATGACCATAGACGTCCTTACCATTTGCAACCTGTGCAAGGACTACAGCCAGGGGACGGAGAACGAAGAATCACATTTTGTCAGTGGATTCTTGATAGAACTGATAATAATAGGGAGTTTTTGAGTAACATTTTATGGACCGACGAGTCATGCTTCACTAGATGTGGAGTGGTAAATTTTCATAATCAACATATGTAGGTCGCATGAAAATCCGGAAGCAGTTTGGGAAAGAAATTTTCAGCATGAATTTAGTGTGAAGGTGTGGATTGGTATCTACCGTAAACGACTATTTGGACCCTTCCTTTTGCCTGCAAGGTTAAATGCTGCGACCTTCTTGGAATTTTTAAAGGCTGAACATGCAAATATGCGGGATGATGTTATGTTAGATTTAAGAAGATTGGCCTGGTTCCAGCTTGATGGTTGTCCAGCTCATTATTCGAGAATAGTTAGAAACTGGCTGGACGAAGAAAGATGGATCGGCCGTGGAGGACCAGTCGCCTGGTCTCCACGATCCCCTGACCTAAATCCATTAGATTTCTTTGTGTGGGGATTTCTAAAAGAAAAAGTGTACCAGACTCCCGTAACCACAAGAGATATGCTAATAGACAGAGTCATGAATGCATGTGATGAAATAAGGTCTTATTTGGATAATGCTATACCACGTTCGATCATTCGTAGATGTGAATTGTGTATTGAACAATTGGGTTTACATTCCGAGCAACTACTTTAGATTTTGTATGTTTGTCCTAACTATCCAATAGCATTTTAGTTGTAAATAATTAGTTTAATTTGTTAAAAATAATATTGGAAAATTAAACAAATTAATATTCTGTTTTTTTTTGTGTTCATTTGGAGTTAGGAATTATTGCTGTGTTTAAAAACACAATCTAAACGATCATCTTAATTACTTGTAATGCCCAAATCGAAAATGTAAAAAAATTATTATTTTCCCATAAATAATTAAAAATGCATCGAACCTTAAAAATCGAAATATCTCAAAAAACGGCTAACTATACCGAAAACTCACAGGAGAGCTTTTTTATGTTGAAAAGTGCGAAGAATCAGTTTTTTTATTCAAAAAGCAAAAAATTGCACTAAGAAAAAATTTTTGGTCTTTTTAATACTCTACAGGTACAGTAGAGAGCGCCCTCTAGCGGCTTCAGTAAAACTGTGCCCATGGTTCGTTTTGTCGTACCAAAAAACCATTGTATACCAATTTTCACTGTTATACATCAAATATTGGTCGAAATATTTAAAAAAAACCAGCTCCCTTGTATAAAGTGAAGGGCTGAAAAGTGGGACCTAACGCCCGCAAAACCTAAACTCAACTTCCCGGTGGGTCGCAGATAAAATGCTTTGGCTAAGACTTTTTGTTGATTAGGATGGTTCTCAAAAAAAATATTAACACATTAATAAAAGCCAAGTATACTGAACCTAGGTAAGTATTTGTAACATGTCAACAATTGCTCTGCTGATGTGGCTTTATTAAAAATTTGTATAAATTAAGAACAGCTGCAACCAAGATGATAGTGATAGTGTTTCTTCCTTCAATAAACCTTCACTCCTCAAATTAGGAACCAGTTCTGAAAAGGAAGCAGAGAGCTATAAGTTATACACTAAAGTAAGTTCTTGGAGAGAGAGTGTGGAGGATAATACAGTTCAAAATGCTATGAACAATATTCCGCTTCAATGTTGCTTCAATCAATTTCAAAGCGAAACAATGCTTGCGTCCATCCCATAAAAAGCCGCGTTGAGAGCTAAAGTGTATCTAACGAAGCTACAAAGTAATCGTAAACAGTGGTTGATTCGTGATCAACGCGTGATCGGTAGCCATGGCGCTCTGTCGGCCTCTTCCTGATTGGCTTGTAGCGACGAGCCTCCAGACAAAGTCGCACGGTTGCCACGCTCGGCGAGTGGTTGATCACATTCGCATGGATCACAAATCAATCTGTTGGTGCAATACGTGCAATAACTGTTGTAAAGGACATTATATAACAATAAATGGCATCACAAAGGTATATTCCAATTTGATCTGCAGCAAATTACGAACGGCATATACGGAGATGCGAAAACAAGCTCAAAAAGGTGAAGAAAATTTTTGTGCAATCTTTATAGTTAAATTTTTCCTAAGAGATAGCATCAGTGAGGGAATTTTTTTCTATTGTCTTATTTTTCACATTAATGCGATGTCGAGGTATGTGGCCCTATCGCAATTGAAAATAAGGTTTCGATAATCCTTCCATAAAGTTTCGATGAGTACATCTGAAATAACCTTGAGATATTCTTCAGGGAAATACAAAAATCTTCTTTTGTGTTTTTTTGTGCAGATTTATCTATTAAAATCCTATCCGCAATCTATTTTCCGTGCACACACCTTCAACCGAATGTATGCCATATATGATATTACCGTTTCCAACTTTCACCAAGGTTAATAGGAACCATAACAGCTCCCTACCCTTCCCCCCTATAAGAATATCGATTTGTAGCCTCACATTTCAAGGTTAGACTTCTTGTAATGTTTCTGTTCAACATTCGGCGATTTCTGACAATTTTCCCAATAAAACATGATCATTGTGACATTAAGCCTGGCAACGCTGCATAGTAGAGGGAACTCGTCACCACGCACAGGATTGTAATCAGTTACGGATACCCGTTTATGAGCGCGAACGTTTTATGCACGTCTTGACTTGATTTTTCTTGCGGAAATTTAATATTAGTCTAAAATGTCTGACACAGATACAGCTGATGAAGTGGTTGAAATCAGCTTAACGCCACCCAGCAAAAGGGCTAAAAAGCTTCATCTTAGCGCAGGTGAAAAACAAATTATTCTAATATCTACAAGAACCAGATGCAAGAGAATAGTGGATTGGCTATAGAAAATATCGTATGTAAGGTTGCTGAAATTTCTGGAGTAGGTCGATCAAGTGTTATATGTTTGATTTTACTTTGTTTCTTCGATGGATACAGTTTAGGTGTATTAGAGCCAAAGTGGTAAATTCTCAGCGATAGCGTCAGACGGCTGTAGCTTTTGACTGTGCTATGACACATTATATCGAAACTTTAAGCTCACGTGACCTATACCCTTACTTCCCGAGCCAACTGGCGAAGAAGTATCGTAATCGCGAAAAATTTCGAAAACGAGATATTAGGATTTTGATACATACATGACATGTAAATCACGGAAAACCATGTCAATTATTTCCGAGGGTCTATCTGTCGATCTGACTCTGTCCGCTAATACTTGGCCCGTATATTTGTTATAGCGGCCTTCCATTATTTAGTAAGTATCTAGGGAGTTGTTGGCACCCGGCGTGAAATTAGAGCCCGATGAGCGAAGCGCCGCGAGCTCTGAAACACGTGTAGGGAAACTGAACGTAACTCTTGCGACTCGGTTCGATAGCAGCCCTTGGACGATAATCGAGATGCTTTTTGTTTGACCACAACGGTTGATGTCCCACGACGTTGCAATTTTTTACAATATACGTGTGCAGTAAATTGGTTGGTCTCTCATCTTCATAGTAAAAGGAAAACAGCTACCGCTATGTTATGATTTTCTCTGATTTCATAAATGAGTGTTCGTGCGGTGCCAGTACTAGAAAAACCTGTTACAGAACTTCACATAAATTTCAAGTCGTCATTCCCATATCAGACAAACTTACCAACTATTGAGTTTAGAACAAACTATTTGATTAACCTGCAAACCTGTCTGGCTTAAGCCAGTGATTTAAGTTTAGGTTACCTGCTTGAGGCTTTCAAGAGTTGCGTCCTTTCTTCTCAAAATACAAGGCAAATGAGCTTTTCAAAGAAAACTTACTAATTAATATTTCTGAATATACGTCTCAGTCCAGCCGCCATTCAAACATTTAATTACTTCTGATTCAATTCGTGGAATTGTATAAGAAAATAAGCACATCACAAGTCGCAAAGATTGGATTTTACGAAATTTCGATCTCCGATTCCAATATTCACAAAATCCTCACGATATGTTAACGAATGCAAATCTGCCAAGTAACTCATACAGCTTTGAGCTTTCGAATGATATGGAGGTTACGTCTAGGTCTGGAAGTTGCTCCAGAACTATTCCGTTTCATTTCGTTTTAAGCAAATATCCAGGAGGTGACAACTCTGCATTTCACTAGCATTTTGGTGTTAAGGCAACAACAAAGGAGAGATTTCGCGGCTTAACAGTTCGTATACCAACCCGTTGAATAGGTATTTTTAAATAAAAAAAAAAATAGGACGAAAGGAGCGAATTCGTGATCCGTTTTGAGATATATGGTGTAGAAGACTTCAATTGTCTTTAGTCCGATATCAAAGACGTATTAGGGCAGGAGTTTGAAAGAATCAAATGTACAGGATACGAATTGAGCAGTTTTTAAAGCACATTAGCTGTGAACAGAGAAAAAGATTAACAATCCGGGTTATTTTCAGTCCATCAATTGTTTTTACCACCACCCTTCCTTCAACCAATCTATAGAATATTTCCAAACTCAGAGAAATGGTTATAAGTGCTGACTTTCTATTAGGTTCTAGCTTAAAAACTTGAAATAAGGGGCGCGCCCTTGATAATCATTTAAAAAATAAAGGCTTACAATAACGATACCCCCTAAAATACTTTGGGATTTTGTTAACGAATGTCTAAGAATATTTAAGAACCTTGGCAACAATCAAATCTTTGCTTTTTCATTTGTTTCTCTGAGTAAAAAGATGCCAAATATTGCACAATTTCGAATAAAAAAATCGCTTATTTCTCCAAATCTATCAACTAAAGAGGAACATTTATAAAAACCTTTTTTGTTAGGAAAACATAAAAAAACGATGTTTAGAATTTGTACCACGAATCATTCAATAAATTTTTGAGACAACATTGGCTTGGTAACGTGCAGATTCTGAATAATATTGTGCAAAAAACCGAATCAAAACAATTTTACGAGCGGATGGTGAGGTACTTTGCTGTATCCATAAACATATGACGGACATTTCGTCGTATATCGTATCTCAGACTGTAAGCTCCAGAAATTGAACTTTATGAGATAAAGGTAGTATCCCAAGTTCTCTCCACATCAATCGCACTCCCATACAAAAGTCGTAAAGAAGTACAATGCACTTCGACTCCAAAATAAAATACGATGAATGAAACTTTAACATATCAATTTTCTAGTTAGACGGATTTGTCGTAAATATAATTTGGCTTGCCAGAGGAACCATAAAAATGACAATTTGAGTTCAGGCCACACTGCTTACATGAGCAATAAAGAAGTTTACGATGGCGATGTAAAGATGTTACTGGCTACGGATGTTTTGTTACCGCAGATGTTCAGAATGATACAAGCGATATACGTCAAATATCTTTGTAGTGTGCTTAGCAAGAACTAATCTATTCGTTGTTCATTAAGAGCGGCTTTTAAGCGCATAACCTATCGACAGCCTTAAGCTCTTTATAGTATAAGTGAATTATATATTTTATGAAGATCTGTCGTAGAACAGTACTCTTTTAAGCAATTAAAGAGGTATCAGTTTTATTTGTCATTGATCCTTTTCAAAAAGGAGTCTTGTCGTAGATCACATTACCAAGTAAGTATAGGGTGTTTTTTTTTCGAGGTATAGAACTTTAAGTTGGCATTACTTTTGCAGATGGCGACCGATTTGACAGCTGTCAAGTGATTTATTCTCAGTTTGGTTTGGCAATTCATCATGAATAGACTCACGCCGGAACAACGCCTGCAAATTGTGCAGTTTTATTTCGACCATTTTATCATTTCCATTCCATTTTATCGTCGACAAAATCGTCCATCAGAGCAGTTAATTCGATTAACCATGGAACGTTTTCGCACCACGTTTACTGTAATTGATAACTCGCATCCCCAGAGATGCCGTACGGTGAGTACAGAAGAAGCTATTGCTACTGTAGAGCGTAGGATTGAGGACGACCCGAATGAGTCCATCCGCTATCGAGCACAGGAATTGGATCTGCGTCCATCCACTTTATGGAAGATTTTGAGGAAGGATCTTGGTTTGCGTGCTTACAAAATCCAACTCGTGCAAGAATTGAAGCCAAACGATCATCAAGCAGGGCGTAGGTTCGTTGAATGGGCCCAAAACGAGATTGCCGCGTTGTTCCCGATTTTCATAAGCGAATTTTGTTTAGGGATGAAGGGCATTTCTGGTTGAATGGCTATGTCAACAAACAAAACTGCCGCATTTGGAGTGAAGCTAATCGTCAAGTCTATGTCGAAACACCGTTATATCCAGAAAAACTGACTGTTTGGTGCGCTTTATGGGTTGGTATAATAACATTCGCCATGTTATTGCCGATATAAGGCCACAAATGTTGGAAAGAGTAATCGAAAATTGGACGTCCAGATTGGACTACATCCGAGCCAGCCGTGGCAGTCATATGCCAGAGATCATATTTAAAATGTAATGCTACAATAGAATAATCCATCGTTGTTTTATTGCAATTTAAAGTTCTATACCTCTAAAAAAACTCTATTTAGATGCAACAACATAAAATATAAGAGGAGAGGCGTTCTACGTTTGGGTCAATTAGACCCTTCAAGTTTATGCCATTTTGCAACGATAT